TCTGTCTTTTGGCAACAGTCTTGAGTATCATTCAGGTAAAAGAGCGCCTTTGCTTAGGTCCGCCCCCCCCAGTTTTGATGGAGAGCACCACATGGGGACGGGTCCGAAGATCTTCCACCCCTCTTCTCCTACCACAACCTCTCGAGAGAACATTCGGCTCGTCGCGTATTTAGAATGCCTCCATGCCGTACAGACACTATACATTTACAAACACCTATGCCTTCTCCGGCGTTGGAATCCGGGCACGTTCGGTACGACAGTCAGCGTCGCTAACCGCTATCCCCGTTGGTGGCTGATTCTATAGAATATAATTTCGCGCTCTTGCTTTTTAATGAAACGGTTTCAAAAATGTAAGCGAAAGGAGATAATACTCTTTCTTTTTGGTAGCAAAAACTAACGAGCTCTCAAAAGTCTGTATGACAGTCTCAAAAGACTGTATGAGGAGGTCTTGACAACAACAGACAAAGTTAGAAGAAGGACGTAAAGGACCCTTTTATTCAATCACTTTTAGTTGAGTTTCTAGTCATCACTTGGACTTACATAAATTCAGCACTCCTGGCTTAACTCAATCAGGCAAAGCTGAAATTAAAATAAAACGTAATTTAGCTAGCCTAACGACTCACGGGATAAATTAACGCGCAGGAAGGCTCTGACTCGTAGAAACCGGCGGAAACAAGCTTAATGGCTAGAAGCTCCGAAAGCCGCAGAATCAAATCGTTAGCAATTCAAAGTAACAACGTGGCCTTAGGCATAACATGCTCTAAAATCACCTTTCGAAACCTTCCTTAAATAGCACTTGAATTTACGCGCACTATCTGATTAACATTCTGGCAGGAAAGCGTGAGTGAAAATGAGAATTAAAAAAAAAAAAAAAAAAAACTTGCTAAAACTAAAATTGAAATATATAAGTCAAAATAAATAAATAAATTCTCACATGATATTGATTTAATTGCTAAGAAGTAGAGATAAATTTATCAGCAAAATAACGATAGGAAGGAAAGTGATCGCGCAGAAGTTTTCTGAAATGAACTCATTTCACCGATTGCCAGAAAGATTTCCTGCAGATTATTCTAACTAGTTTATCATATCCTTCCTTTTTAATTTTTTTTTTTTTTTCATTTTATAATCTAGAACCAACTAGAAAAAGGGGAAAGAATTTAACATATAAAATTCATTGTGTTAACAAAATGCTGGTTTGATTTTGGATAGTTCTTCTGATGATTAGTTAGAGTAGTTAACACCACTGAGCACTAGTCATTCGATCCGGATTCAAATCCGAACGAATGAGCTGGCTGCATTGGTGTTTTTATGGTTTTCTCATGCGCAAAGTGAATGCAAGCTACAAGCCAGCTTCCCTTAGAAAGTTTTTCTTCTCAACGGCCTAGGCAGACAGTTTTCATGTACTCTTCCACGAGGAATAAAGACTTTTGATGATCAGGAGAAAAGTAAAGAATTTGCTGGCTAAAATCTTGTCTTTTAAAGAATTTCGAAAGTATTACATTATTACAAATACTTATAGCTTACAAAACAGATGCTTATGGCAATTAATGACAATTATGGGTCAAGCAATTACTGACTTTTAAGAATGTGATTGAGTAAAATTTTGAGTACCTTTAGAATGATATTTTTTTGTACGCTATTTTATAGAATGGAAGCATTTTTAAAATTTACCCCTTTCGCTATAACCTACTCAAGCGTATGTTCTCTCACGAAGTAAATATTCATAATACTTCTACAGAGTTTCAGAACTAATGTTTTAAAGAGATTTTAGCAAACTAGCCAAACAATGGCTCACGACATTTTGTTATTATATTTTAAGTTTTTTTCCCCTTCTTCTTAAAAATTGTCTGTTATGGACAAAATTTTCAACACAGTTCATTGCTTGTTTTGAATCAGTGACTATGTACTGTTATGCATTGGAAAGTTGAACAAAGAACAACAGTAAAACTTCCGTGCAGGACAAGAAGGAATGCTAATTTCTTTAAAAAATGGCTTGACAAGAGACAAAATTTAGCGTTTTGCTTAGGATCTTGAAGCAAAATGGAAAATCCCATCTTAAGCACTCGAACGGGCTGGCTGCATGGTCGTTTTCGTGGTTTTCCCCACGTGTAACGTGTATACGAGCCAGTTTCCCTTAGAAAGTCCTCCACGAAGGCATCATCCCTCCCCTCAGGCAGATAGCCCTCGTGTGCTTTGCCATAATTAAAATACACATACGCATACACCCATCTTAAGCATCTGCTTGGGATAGAAGGAAGCTCATTACGGTGTTACTGTATGTGAAACTGCCGTATTCCTTTTGTATAATGTAACTTGAAAATCTAAGAGAGACAAGCTATGCTGGAAAAGTAAGAATACAGGGGAACTCCATTTAACAGCAGATGTCGTCATAGACTAAAGTCGCCAAACTTAGAACTTTGCAACCATTTGGCGACATTTTGGTCCGGTTGCTGTATCACTATAATAGGTATTGTAATTCATCATATATTAGCTGTAACCGTACTTCGACCTTCATATTGTCTTTCAGTAATTTCAAGAAGCAGAAAGTACTAGAAATATCTCGACGGCCGTGTGAAAACTATACGAGACCGGAGAGAGCACTTGCTTTCAGTTGTTGTGGTCAGCTGTTAACTCAGCGTGAGTTCCGAGTACTGTCTCCGGTTTAGCGTCGCACTTCAGATGCACTTTGCGTTGGCTTGTGTTTAACGTTCGTAGTAGTTTGAAGTGTAACTACTGATTGCACTCTGATATTGTGAAGAGATGTACGACTATTTCTATGGAAACCTCCAGATATCTGAAGTGTTTCTTTTGATAGAAATAAATTTTATCAACCTGCCATTGGACCTGGGTGCCTTCGATCTATTCCGAACCCGTACGCACGCAATCATATATATATTTTTCAATTTACGTTGTTCGAACAAGAAATAACAGCTTCAAATGCATTCAATTTTTTTTTCAACCGACTTTTAATGTCTTATCCTAATTATTTTTATGTTTTATTAATAATAATAAAAATTCTATGAAATTGAAAGCTCATTCCTGATACTTTGCATAAATTTAAATTACTTTAATCATTATTATAACAATCACACAAGGACAAAATTGTTCAGTGTCTTTTAAGGTATGGGAAGAATTTATACCATTGATTCAAATACTATTTTATAGGGGAACAATTTTTAACATTGGAGAGTTTAACTTATGATGCTCAAAATATGCGGAAAATACGCTGCGACCACAACTGTATGTACGCCCAAATGCTATACAGACTGAAAAGGAATGTATCTGATAAAAGCTTATAAGGTATTTCTCCCGCTCTCCTAGCGTGATTTCGTGGTGTAGCGGTTCTGCACGCTGGGCCGGTATTCCAGAGGTCCTTGGTTTGATCTGTAAAATTTTATGGTAGCAATGCCAGCAAACCTAATCTAGTAGAATAATTATTTTGTATATTTTTTGCACTTTTCTGAATTGAATAGTTGACCTGTTTTTGTGAATTTGATTGGTTTTACTTGAGTTCTCTATTGTAAAATGTGCATTTAAGGCAGTATTTTATAATAATTTTCTTTGAATTATTTTTGAATACATTTGGTTTTTGAATTTGAAATTTTCCGTATCTTTATGTTGGCATTATTTTTGTACCGTACTTCTATCGCGTTGCCAGCAAACCTGATGTAGAGTTTTTATATTACTTGGAGTGGTTTTGTTTTTAAACCAAATTTATGTTTTGTATTGTAATATCTCAGGTTCAGCGTATTTTATGATAATATTGTTCATTTATCAAAGTTATTGGTTCTTAATTCTGAATTCATATGAAGAAATTTTATTTGGCAGTTTATTATTGTCTTAGTTTATCTTTATGCATTTTTTTCTAAATTGAATGGTTCTTCTTGATATTATGAATCTAATTGAAATTAATTGTGTATAATACAGTAATGGATGTATTATATTTTGTTTGTTTGTTTGTACCATAGTTTTTATTTAAATTAGTTGGACTCAGCTTTGAAAGTATTTCGTATTTTCAGTACAAATTATGAAAGTATACTCGGTTTATTGTTTGAATGCTATAGGTACTACTTGTAACATGCTTTTTTTAGGGTTTATTCATGACTATGTTGCTTATGTCCTTGTGTACTTGAAGGCCTTGTATGCAACTGTAAACTTATTTTGCTTAGTGATAATAAATAGCTCCTGGAGGCAGGGGCTTTAATCCGTGTAAGGCAGACATCATGTCAGCTAGGTAATGGATCCCCTGTTCTCTGGTTAATGATCCTTGGTTCGATTCCTGGGGAAGGCGGTTGCTAATTTTTCATCTCTCCGGCCTCCAAAAAAAATCCTAATGTCTCTACAAGCTATAAAAAGTAAGAATGTTTGTTTTCTTCATTTTTCGATTTTACATGAAATTAGTCCTAATATTATGTAGATTCACTGCGTATGACACAAGCAAACTGATGTCATGTAGTTGAATTAATCACATCTTTTCGAGTCGTTTTTGGGCCCACCAGCTCCCGAGTGGTAAAGAAGCTGAACACTGGTAGTTCGGTCCGAGGTACGAATCCCGCGAACGGGCTGGCTGCATGGGCGTTTTCTTGCTTTTTCCCACGTGTAACGTGTATACGAGCCAGTTCCCTTAGAAAATCCTCCGCGAAGGCATCTCTCCCTTTAGGCAGATAGCCCTCGTGTGCTTTGCCATAGTTGAATAATCCAATCTCGAGTCGGTTTTGATTTCATTGTTAAGTAACAATTATGTAGCAACACTTTTGTTGCTATCTATAGTATAGATTAGAATAATATACTGATAAACAGAGAATTGCTGAATTACAGAATAATAGTATCTATTAATATTAGTTGCGCGAAATGGTTTTATTTCTACACCACTAAAGAATTTTATGATCCTGATCTTTGCGATCCTTTCCATTCAGCTCTGCAATCCTTGAAGTGAAATGAAGATTTTAGTGATAAGCAATACAAAAAAATTGCATTTTAATATTATCCAAAAAACTTACTTTTGGTGACTCTTCTGATGCTCCAGTCCATAAAGAGTCCTCCAATGGGAGCTAGAAAGATACCCGTTACTTGAAATAGTCCGTAGGTTTCGGAAAAGAAAGAGTCTGAAAAAATAAAATGCATTCCTGGTTAAAAATGATTAAAAGGTAAAAAAAAAATATATACTTATTTTCATTACTTCTATACAAGAAAAAGGTACTATCGCAAAAGATTTCTCATTTAACGTCTTAGTATGCTGTGGAGCTTGAGAGTGAACACTTTTTTAAGTGTAAAAGAAGTGTTTTTTAAGCGCCAATATAAAATTTAAAATTAGGCAAAAAATATGAATAAAATATAGAATTAGACTCCATCAATATTAACGGCGATCAGAGATAGACCTTTCCTATTTCGGAGCAAAATGTTTTGCTCCTTAAAAAGAGGTACACTGCGGGAAAAAAAAGACGGACAGTTCTATATTTCCCGCTCTACTGGGCCGATTGGACGTATGCGTAGATGTTAAATTTCGTAATTTTTTTTTTTTTTTTTTTTTTTTTTTTCATTGTCCACGAGCGGAAAAAACGTCGTCGTTCATATTTTCAAATAATTTTAACAGAGTAAACCACATTTTTGTTATTATCGCTTATAATAAATACGCCAGCGCCTGTAACATATATCTGGAAATGGAATAAACTCTAATTTTTGCAGATTTGCTTAGAAATATATCCAAGAATGGCAAACCTTTATAGTTTATTCAAATGGAAAAATTTATAATATTATAAAAATACAAATTAAAAAAAAAAAATCTGAAATGTTTCAGATTTTAAATTACGTCCAAAGGGGCGTTTTTTAACATTTTGTGTGTTACCTTTCTTTATTAAATATCATGTTCCTCGCACTTCAAACCATAAGATCCAGTGCAACAGCAATATCGCAAAATAGTTTTAAAACGAGCATATCTTTAGAATTTCCGATACAGAGACTCACGCGCTGGAGATAAAAATGTTTTTTCTGCACAACGTTGCCATTGCTCGCTTTGAAATCCTTGAGTTTGTTAATCAAAAATTCGTCAAAGTTTTAAAAAATAGGAAATCGATCATAAAACAAATTTCAAATTTCAAATTTGGTCTTCCACATGCTCATATTCGTTGGAGGATTACGTTATTCAAAATTCGATGACTCTATGTACCGTTGTTTTATCACAATACGAGAAATATACATACATTTATGCAGATTTTTCATTATTTAATTTCTTCAAATATAATGCAGGACTCTAACATTTTGTGGCAACAGTTTGAAAAGTTTGAAAAGTGAACCGACATTTATGAGTCCGACGCAAAATGCCAAAACGAAACTAATAGTCCTTCGGGATTCAAATCCCTTTGGACTAAAAAAAAAAAAAAAAAAAAAAAAAAAAAAAAAAAAAAAAAAATAGCGAATTTATTGAAACTAAATTCGAATAGAAGGAAGAATCAAAGTTTAGTAAAAAAAGAAAATAATATATATCAAATTCAATAACATGAGACCAAATTTGATAGCTAATTTTTAAAAAAAAACTACTCGTGCGATTTTTACAAAACTTGGCAGTTTGGCTTAATTTCAGTCGTAGAATCGAAATATGGAAAAAAAATCGCATGGCATTTCAGAAAAAGTCCGATTTTATGTCAAAATGCCTATATTAGAACACTGCTGTGTATAAATCTAACACATATCCCAAGTCGCGCTTTCGAGACATGAAAAACGCTTGTTGAAGTTCGTCAATAGGACCAATAGAACGAGACATATAGACCCACATAGCACAAAAACATCCTTGGGATATTCCGAGGATGTTGCTCGCGGGATATGCGCACATCCTCAGGACATCCCGAAATATCCCGCAAACCTCCTAAACACCTCCTCCCGAGTGCTTAATGTCACATCCCAGGATATCCTCAGGACATCCTAACTAAGTCCCATCGACAGCGGGGAGAGAAAAAAAAAGTTCGACCCCCCTCTCTCTTTTTTTTTTTTTTTTTTTTTTTTTTTTTACGCAGTGTTAAGTCGATGAAAATTTAATCATAGTCAACGAAACTGTAAGGTTGCTTTTATACTAAGGTTGGTTTGTAAGTTTTAACTGCTTTTTTTATTACGATTTTTTATTATATTTTTTAAATAACAGTCGATTAATAGCCAACTTAAACGGTTTTCACTCTTAAAGAGTCTTACCTTGCACAAATAAAACTAAGTAATAAAATTTCGCATGCCGAAGAAATTATGAAATTATCAACAATTAAAAAAATAAATGCTTGAAATTTCGTGAATTACTTTACAAATCAATAGTAAATTCAATACGTTTTGTCTATTTCGTTCCTCATACAAGTTTTTGGACTTTTTTTAGTAACAATAGATATTTTGTTTGTATGAAGAATAGGAAAAAATACCTATTGATGCAGTCTAATAAAGCCCGGTCTATAATTTTTCACGGCTGCGCGATAAGATGTTGAACACTGGTAATTCGATCTGATTTCAAATTCCAGCAAAAAGGCTGACTATGAGGGGATTTTCGAAGATCACTAGACAACAAGGTTAATGCTCTTCAAAGGAGGTCACACTTTTTTCATCCTGCTGTTGAAGATAGTGACATGAACACATCACAGATGGCAATCAAAATCAGTTCGTCCGCTAAATGGAGAACCACATACGTAAAACATTCGTATTAAAGATCGGCAAAATCGAATTTTTTATGGGATCGGATCAGAACCCCTCGCTCTCTGAACCGAATCAGTTTTTTTATGACTCTCCGCTTCTTAGAATCTTGATACAAAATATCGGGAACGTAATGTGAATCAAGAGCTGTTAGCGAGGAGAAAGCAAAGAACCTAAAGAATCGAACGGGACGAATGCGACCGGAAACGGCTAGCCAGGATGGACCGAAAAGCGGGAACAATGGCACATGCAGAGGGATTGGAAGAATCGAACTAATGAAACGCCAACTTCCTGAATTTGTGTATTCCCCCCTTCCCAGATATATCTTTGAGATTCCCTTAATTCTTTCTGCGTATAACTAGCAATAAAATTCTATAATTAAAAAATAAAAAATAAAATTCTATAATTAAAAAATAAAAAAAAATTAGGGAAGGTTAAAAATTAAACTCTTTTTACTTCCTTGTACGAAGTAAAAGGAAGTATAGTAATCACGAAAAGTTTCAGGCAGCATATTTCAACGAAAATATCCATTTTGACCGCTATTGAATGCAATTTAACGATGTTTCTGCGTGATATCTGTACGTAAGGACAGAATAAAAGACTCGTTTCCTTCAAAAAATTATAAAACTGCTTTAAAATGAATTCTGAAGAGAATTTTTCGTGGCGTCTGTACGAACGTATCTCGCATAACTCAAAAACGAGTAGCCTCAGAACGTTGAAATTTTGTATATAGGATTGCTATAACATGTAGATGTGCACCTCGTATTTTGGTTGCAATCGGCCGCACCAAACGTATATAAATATATTTATATATATATCCAGCCTGTTACCCGGCTCAGTCATCTCAGTTTTCTTTACTCTTATATGTTGGTAAATTGTACATTTTTTGCTTTAAAAATGATTGAATTATGTTGTTCTTATCTTCCGGTTAAGGTGTTTATGCCTTTAGTAAATCTGTATGCAATATTTTTAGAATTATCAACAATTTTAAAGTTGTTTAAATGCCGCTAAGCCTAATAATTTTTTTGATGGTGGCCATTGCTTGTTTACATTTGAAACAGCAGACTAGTGGATTTGTTGACAATCTAGAGAAACTTAGCTTCACAACAACAAAGATAACGCCTTCATTTATTATTGCGAATTAAATCATGCTTAATCCTTTCTTTTCGAGGAAATAAGTGATTAAGGTTTACTTCGTAATTTTTAATACAGATATTTTGAGTTTTTATGTATTTTTGCCTTGTCGCGAAGTGAGAACTGAATTAAATGAATGAGAAATAGTGAATCGTCTGTGAAAAACTATTTCTTTTTTGTTTTGTTTGCTTAATTTCTTTTATACATCGTTCTACTTTATTATAGTATTTGAATAGAACATGTGGCAACGATTAGATAATTCTTTAAATGATATAAATTTTGTGCATTTTGAGTTATAATATGAACGAAATATAATACTGCTAAGTGAGCCTGGCGCCAGAGTGTCGCTATGGTAAACAAATACTAGAGTAAATTTTAAAGAATGCATTTATTCTTGGTTTATGCGCTGTCGGCGAAGTAGATTTAATCCAGTCCAATAAGTTTAAATGTCCAATAAGAAAAATTGCGTATAATTTAATATTCCGTACAAGGAAGTCATCTGGTGTACACATCAGATTTTTTAACATGGGAGAATAAGCATTCTCCCCCCCCCCCATAAATGGGAATCGAACTTTCCGCTTTCAAAAAGAATTCCGCTCAGTTCTGGCAAATCAGGCTTTCGCTCGCTCAATAAAGTGAATCAGTTCGTGAACGAATAACAGATCTCTGCTCATGACACGCTTCTAAAAAGAGCTCTCCGTGAACTGTGAAACATCACCACTCCATTTTGTGGAATCACTGTTCATAAGCTCAGTAAAGTGAACGGTTCTTTGAATCAGTTCTGAGTTGCATCGTCCAACTCTAGTTCATACCATACTAATCGAAACGAAGCTCTACTAGTCAGTGACAGCGACATCACCACGCTGGTTGAACTTAGTCGAGAAAAGCAAACTTTACAGCATTGTAACCTTGAAGTTTCATAGATTCCCCGCATGTAATGCAAATACGAGTATATTTCTTTTAGAACGTCTTCCTCGAAGCCATCACTTCCCTTAGACAGATAGCCCTTGAATGCTTTGCCATATTTAAATAATTTAAATCTTTAACGTTTCAATGAAAAAAAAAGTACAGTTGCGTTATTTGAATGTAGCAAAACGCACAATGTTTAAGGATTAGATTAGGTTTTGCCTTTCTGCCTAAGGACAGAGACATCATTCGTGGAGGACTTTCTAAGGTAACTGACTTGTGTTTGTTGTAAATTAATCAAGCATTTGAGAATAAATAAATAAAATGTTTTCTAACTCACTTCTGGCAACCCTAAAAATGCCAAGGCACACGAACGTCAAACACGTCAACTATGTTAATCACGTGATATTAATATATCCCATGCTTCTCTTGTTCTTTAGATATTATTAAGCTTCTGTATGTGCTTGTGTTAACATTAATGTATCTATCGCTTATATTATTTTAGTTGCAGTACAATAAATGTTATTAGTGTTTAAATCTGCATCGTATTATTTATGGATAAATCCCTCACATCATCAACCATAGTTTCGGAGACTCAACTGCTGCTATTGAGTGCACAAAAGGGAAGTTGATTTTGCTATCTTTATTCTTCAGTGTTCACATTAAACACGTGGAAACCACAAAAAACAACCATGCCACCAGTTCGTTCGCCTGCGATGGAAGCCAGGTCGAACTTCCGGTATTCAGTAGTTAAACTACTCGGCAGCTGGTGGGTCGTCTACCCAAGGAAATGGATGCCTTCGTGGAAGACTTTCTAACGAAAAAGGGCTCGTGCACATACATAGGGAAAACTAAGAAGCGCACACATAAAAGGAAACACATATAGGGAAAAACACGAAAGTCAAGCATGCAGTTAGCCCTTTTATCTGGGTTTGAACCTGGGTCGAACTATCAGTAGTCAGAGTTTCATAATGTGGTGGGGCTCGTAAAAACTTGCACGATTACAATTTGTAAGTTGGTACAGAATTTTCTTATGAACTGAATTCTGTCGCTGAGGTAAAGAAAGATATTATATTTTGATTGCGTTTATTTCTTATACCACTAACAAGAATATTAATAAAATTTGAAACAATCGAAAATGGACAAATATGACTAAAAAGTATATATTTTTTGTATATTTTATACTTTGAGAAATGCAGAAGTTGCAAAATACTTGTGAGAATGAAGAAAACGATAAAAAATTAATTACTCATTTGTAATTGGCAAAATATGCTGTAGATATATTCTCATAATCATGCCTGTAATAACATTAATGAAATCCTATGAATTTATATTAAAAAGTTAAATTTATTTCTTCTTCTAATGAGTTTTGTTATGTAACAAAATAGTTACGAAAGCTGTTTCTTGCATGAAAATTATAAAATAATTTTGCAACAGTACCTTCATTTCGATCAGTTGTAGTCCTTTCTGACCACAGATGAAGAGTTCCGACATATATAATCGTGTATAGAAGTAACCAACAGAACCAGTATTGGTGTAAGAAGAAGGACCACGAAAACAGAGAATTCCGAAGTGGTATTTCTTCTTGCTTCTCAACTTCTCCATCTGTAAAATGAAACAGATAATAAAAAATAAAAAATAAATAAATAAATAAATAAATAAATAAATAAAAGTGCGAAACTGTAGTATAAAATGTCCAATAATTTAATACTTATACACGTATATATATGTACGTGTAAGATTAAAAAATATGTAACTATAAATCATACTTTAAATTAGTAATAGCCCCTTAATCTCGCTTTTAATTTGGGTACTTCCCCTCCACACTTTAAAAATAATAATAACTATTTCTAAAGTATGTTTTTCAAAAATAATCAGGTTATCTAATCATGCCTGCAATGTGGTGAAATCTTAGTTAATTAGGTTAAATAATGTTTTATTATAAATACCACTGCTACTAACTGCGCATTCCCTTTTCCCTCGCTTTGTTTGTTGCTAGCAAACGTGCTCCGCTTTGTTCATTGTTAAGCTGTAAATTGCTTTGTACAGAAACTGTGAAGTGCATAGCGCACCCAGTGGGGAAACAAAAAAATTATTTTTCGTAAGAATGAAGTTATCAAAGAATAAAATTATGTGTTATAATTACGACTACATCTGTCTTCAAGTATCGTCGTTATAACTACGCAATACAGCCTCTCCAAGCTATTACAACGCACAGAACCACAGCCAGTCCTCTGAAGCTATTCTCGCAGTCGTCATATTACACACAAACACACACATGCATATATATATATAATTTGAGTACTTCCCAAATAGAAATAAACATAAAATAAAGTAAATGAAAACATAAAGACATCAATGCAAGGGTTAAAAAATGTTTTCGAAAATGTATTAGTAATGTCTAAAACTGTAATTGGTATAAAACAAAAGCAATTAAAAATTAAGTGGTAATTTAAAGACGATAAGAAGAAATTAATAAATATGGATTCAGTCTTGCTTGTTTTAAAGACGATGTAGAGACATAAGTTATTTTTTAGAAGCCGGAGAGATGAGAAATGAGCAACGTCTTCGCCGGGAATCGAACCACGGACCTCCGGAATACGCGCCCAGCGTGTAGACCACCACACCACGAAGGCATGCTAAGAAGGAGGGAGAAAAACATTATAAGGATAGACCATGTTGAAAATATTTCGTTATTATTATAGCCATATTTCTCACCCACACATAAAAAACTGAATAAATAAAAAAAATTTCAATTAAGAAAAAACATTTAATAAACTTAGAAATAACAAGTTTTATATCATGTGCTATAAGAGATGTCCGACCATATCTAAAAATAACAATTAAGATAATTTATTTCTGGAAACTCATTTCCTGTCTCATCGAAAAGCAGATAATAAACTTAATCAGTGCAATGACTGAAGACTAGAAAGAAGATCGAATTTCTGCATGTCATGATCTGACCCAAATGGCAGACATTAATTTTAATACTGTCAAACAAATCGCAGCTGGAGATGAAACTTATGATCTTGAGCAAAAGTAGCAGTTCTACGCTTGGATCGGAGAAGGTTCATCACGGCCATGAAAACTTCGGTTTCTGTGGCCCTACAATGTTAGGGAACTTTTCTGAATGGAAAAAGGTGATTCACAAAGGATTTATTTCTAAAAGACATATGGTGAACTCTATATTTTATAAAGACTCAATGGACGGAATTTTGAAGAGAATGCAGGAGCGGTCTTTAATTCTCTTTAAGCATTTCTGGTAAAGAAACTGGGTCACAACTACCATCTCTCCTCTTTACCCACCAAACTACCAGAGTGCTTTCGCTTCGCTAAAGTGAGATCTCAAAGTTCACCACTTTATTAGCACTGAAAAGATTCAGAAAACCGTAACAACCAGAAGCTTAAACAATGTTCCAAATGATGAGTTTTACGAAGGAATCGAGCAGCTATATGAATGTATGTATGTTGCTGTTGTTATGCATGTATGTATGTATGCATGTATGTTGTCTGATAGTAACATCAGCCCAAGGCCATGAAATTTCTCGTGGCAAGGAGAGGAAGATAGGCCTGTCGTTGGTAACAGCCTTGAGCACTTTACAGGTGGCAGTGTGATTTTGCTCAGAGCCGCGTCCAATTTTGAAGAAGAGCGGCTCCAGAGGGGACGGGTCCGAGGGTCTCCCACCCCTCTTCCCTTCTTTTAAACCACACGAGAGGACTTTCGGCTCGCTGCAAATTTAGAGTACCGCCATGTTGCACCGACACTATACATTTACAAACATCCATGCCTTCTCCGGGTGTCGAACCCAGGCCCTTTGGCACGGCAGACAGTGTCGCTAACTACTATAATACCGGTTGAGCGGCGCATATGAATGTATAAAGCGTTGTATAGACTTAAAAGGATTGTATATATAAAGCTAAGATATAAAAATGCTGTTTACTACAGATTTCAGTTTGTTCGAATTGATTCCTAAAATTTTGTAGACGCATTATGCTATTGCAAGAATTATGTATAGCCTTTTTCCAGGTGTCTGATAGCGGTTTATCCGACACCGATAAATCTCTTCCGTTTAAGAGCAAAAAGAGTTTGGTAATGAGGTTTTCAGATTCCACCAAATGATTGAAAATTCGGAGATAAAAAGCATTTTGTAACGATCAAAAGAGATGGTAGTTTGTAGCGCTAATGTTAAGAGAATACCCTGAACGATGTTATATAATTTTTCTCATCCAGTTTAGCATTATTTGCCTAATAATTAAGGAGGCATGAGACCTAGCGTTATCGGGGTAATTTCCAGCCAGGCCGATGACCTCGTCCACCGCTACAGAAGGCCTTTTTTACTGAGGCGGCCAGCAAAGTTTAATAAAACTTGTGAGACCTTGTACAATATATCAAGAACTCTGAAATTAGTAATCTTGTACAAAGAATCGAAGAAAAGCGTAACTTCAAAGCCACGGGTTCCAACAGAGCATCGTGGATAATACGCCAAACTGTGGTGTACTACACCCGTAGTCACAGCTGCTGATGTTTACTTACTTTGCTGCGTGGCGTAACTTTTGTTTCTCGTCGCTTTTCATCTGATTGCACACTTGCAGTATAGGAAAGGATGGTGTTTACACTTTCTTGTCCGTTCTCGGAGTTTCACCTGCTAGCTCGTCAAAATCATGTGCCCTCAGAGGCTTAATTTTCTTATCTAGGTTATTAAGACCCCATCTGGGGCCACATAAGCAACTTTAAAAATATGTATCCTTTATCAGGATGGCAGGTAACGTACTTGTGATTGATCAGTACTGACTGCCTAGCTATTAGTTGTTATCCTTATCATTTATACGCTTATAGTTCAGTAAAGATGCTATTATTACTAGTGAGATGAATTCAGGCCTGGGGATCACCGAGTGACCCATTTCATAATTTCAAGTGATCCGCTTGTATTCCGAAAATAAAGTATCTCTAATTATAATAAAAGAGCTTGTCTGTGTATGAGTGTGATTTTCGTTCGTGTTGCGCGTAAGCTAATAGAGCCAGGCCTACGAAATTTGGTACATAGATGCATCTTGACAAGAGCCAGTGCACCTCGAAGGGATGTTTTTCAAAATTCGAATCACATTTTTTTTTGTGTGTTATCTTTTCGATTTTATCGCATCATTTTGAATAGTTTCATTCTTTTAGAAATGTGGTTTTGACAACAGCTTTTCATGCAATGCTTTGTATACTGGACTGCTGACTGTTGAAAATCTTGACATAAAATGCTGCTTATTTTCTTTTGATTACTGGACACGCACACGCAAATCGCAATCTTCTTATTCTGACGCGCATGTGCCTCGCGATGCACAATAGAATTTCCTTTTTTTTTCTCTCTCTCTCGCTTTATTGGCTAGAGCAAAGATCAAAGAGGTATGTATACTTTGAATTATGTTATCCACAAAGCACAATTTTGATTGGTTATTGCTTTCTGATGATAGTTTCATTCCTTTAGAAATGTGGTTTTGGCAACAGTTTTTCATTCATTGCTTTGGATACTGGACTGCTGACTGTTTTCTCTCGAAAATATGAGATTTATTGCTTATTTCGTTGTAATTTTTTATATTATGTTTCAATTATACATAATTTTAATTACATAAAAAGTTTTGCATGATTATTTTGGGGGAAACAAAGTTCTTAACTTCCTTTATACTATTTGAATTCTTAAGATTTTGCAACGGGAGAAGTTGGTTAATTTTATTTGTTAGGATAATTAATACTTAGATAAGAAAATTCTATAAGGGATATTGCTTATTTCATTGCAATTTTTTGTATGTCATATATTTTTATTGAATTCTTTTTTTTTTTTTTTTTGATTTAGTTGCTGTGCAGAGTAAAATTATGTGCAGTTTTTAAATTCGATGTTTGGTGTTTCCTTTATGTATTTTTGCGGTACATTTAAAAGGCAGACGAAGGCTGACAGCGTAGCGGCTAGTAATATATAAAAATAAGTTATAAAACGTAAATATGAAACGATCATTTGAAGAATAGATAAAAAATAAACTGGAAATAAATAAATAAATAATAATAATAACAAAACGATTGTTTGATTAAATTGCAATAACGAAAAGGCATTTCTATTTTTAAAATGTAAAATATTGTAATATAATTTCAAGGGCAAATCGATAAGATTAATAACGCTGATCCGTAATTCATGAAACCATAAAACTGGCTTTGCCATTTTGTCCGCATTCGATTTAACTTAAAAATGCGAGCAAGTATTTGAACACGTGAAGCTTATTTTATGTAAGAGGAGAAGCGAAAATTCAGATGCTTTTATTCTTTTTAATATCTATGCGTCAGATTTGACTAAAGTGAATCCACAAGTTCAGTCAGTCATTGATATGGAACAGAAAAATAAAGTTAATTCAGCTATGTTTGTTTTTACAACAATTAGAATTAGAATTAAAATTTTTATATTCAGATTTTAAAATTATTTTCTCAATGTATTTTATTCACACACACACAAAAAAAGATTGTTTTAAAATTAAAATACCACTGATCCGATACATCATCTTAATGTACACACTTTCGTTGATTTTGTCACGAGGCCAGTAAAGGTTGCTGACGCCAGGATTAATCTGTT